CATTCGTTTTTCACTAGAATTTTGGAAAAAATTTACACAGAAGGAACCAGTTCATTGTGCTCTATTGGATCTACAAAATTACTGAGGGAAAAATCAAGACCAAAATAAATGCAGTTATTATATTTCAAAAACTCATAAATTCCGAAGATTTCTTCTGTTCATAAAGAAAGGGAGCGAAAGATTTCTTCCCATATATATCTTCTGCATTAATTAAACATTGGTTGTTGTCTAATTACCCAATAAGCGTTATCTATCCAAGGCTAATTGTAATGACAATGGTAGGTTAGTTGTCAACCCCATGATTGCATCTGCAAGCAAATACTATATATATTATCATCTCATCTCATGGGCACAGACATAAGCATTCAGCAAGATTTAAATTATATATATAAGCATGGGGAAGAAAGTCCACGTGGCAATATTCTCCTCCCCCGGGATGGGCCACATCATCCCACTGGTCGAGTTCTCCAGAAAACTGGTCCTCCTCCACCACCACGAGTGCACCGTCACCATCATCATCCCCTCGCTGGGCCCGCCACCGGAAGCCCAGGCCCAACTCCTCCAAACCCTCCCGCCAGCTGTCTCCCACGTGCTCCTCCCGCCCGTGGACCCCACCATCCTGGCCCACGTCTCCACCGACGCCAAGCTCTTCCTCACCGTCGATCGCTCCATCCCGCACCTCCGCGGCGCCATCGCCGCCCTCGCCCGCGAATTCCCGCTGGCGGCCCTCGTCGCCGACATATTCGGCACCGACGCGTTCGACGTCGCCAGAGAATTCAACCTCGCGGCCTACTTTGCGGTTCCCTCCAACGCGCTGACGCTTGCGCTCTGCAGCTACATGCCGAAGCTGGACGCCGAGGTTTCCGGCGACTACCGCCAGCTGGCCGAGCCGATCCGGCTGCCCGGGTGCCGGTTTGCGTTCCCCGTCGGAGACCTGCATCCCTCGATTTTGGACCGGAAGAGCGACGCGTACGAGCGGATCCTTCGCCACGCCAAACGGCAGCGTTTGGCGGACGGGTTTATAGTCAACACCTTTATGGAAGTTGAGGGCGAGATTATAGAGGCTTTGAGGGGGGAAGAGTTCGCTAATGGAAGGCCCATCTTCCCTATTGGGCCCATCATTCAATCCACTATTACTGACGATGGAAGGTAAGAGTAGGTAATTTAGGGGTGGGCATTCAGTCAAACCGAACCGAAATTATGCATATCAGGTTCTCGAATTTTATCAAATCTAAAATCGAATTCAAACCAAATTATAATTCGGTTCGGTTCAGTTTTGCATACAAAACTGAACTTGTGAGGTTAGCTTGTATCTTCTCTCTTTTAAATTATTTTTCACCTCTAATGTAAACAATACATATGCATCTTCAATGATAAAATCAAACATTTCAACACATAAGTCATAAAACACTAAGATGATTCAAATATTTAAGTCTCATAATAAGTAGAAACTTAAAAAATTCAACATTTGGAGCTTGCAATTATAATAATTTGGAGCTTGCAATTATGGAAGGTAATAGTAGGTAGTTAATTTTGCCTAAAATTAACTAAAAGATCTTATTGTCATTTATTTTAAAATTTTCAGGGCAACAAGACAAAACGAATGTTTGGAATGGCTAGACAGTCAACCACCAGCTTCTGTGCTGTTCGTTTCATTTGGGAGCGGTGGAACTCTATCACAGGAGCAATTGAATGAACTGGCACTGGGCTTGGAGATGAGCCATCAACAATTTCTGTGGGTAGTAAGAAGCCCAAATACCACCAGAGACACAAACGCCTCCTACATCGGCCCACAGAGCAATTCCAACCCATTCAATTACTTGCCGGAAGGGTTTCTAGGCAGGACTAAAGGACGAGCCTTACTGGTGCCATCGTGGGCCCCACAGATTCAAGTTCTCGGTCATAGAGCAACCGGCGGGTTCTTAAATCACTGTGGTTGGAACTCGACGCTGGAGAGCATCCTCAATGGTGTGCCTCTCATTTCATGGCCTCTGCATGGAGACCAGAAAATGGTGGCGGTGCAGTTGGTGGAGCATCTGAAGATTGCATTGAGGCCGATTGCGGGGGAAGACGGGTTGATCAGACGAGAAGAGATATCGAAAGTGGTAAGGGGTTTGATGGTGGGAGAAGAAGGGTTAGCCGTGAGGAACGAGATGAATGTGTTGAAGGAAGCAGCGAAGAATGCCATGAGTGAAGAGGGATCTTCCACGAAATCGTTGGAACTTCTTGTGTCCCAATGGAAGAATCGGAGTGGAGAACCGAGCTTGGGTACTTAGAGAACTCAATTTGTTCTTCAAAATTCAACTTATTTTTGTTTTTGAGGAAGATGGTGGGTTGGGCTACAAATCTATGTGCATTTGGGTTTGGTTGAAATAAATCAAGGGATGTGATTATGAACTTTTTTTCTTACGTTGTGCTGATATATCATGCTCGAGTTTGAGTTGTGAATGAACACCAATACATTCATTAGGTAGTGAAACAACCGCGTTCATCGGCATTCAACATTCTCAACCACCATGCTAAGTTAGCATTGCTAACTCGTGTAGGCATTCTTGGCCTTATTCTAACCTCTAGGCCTCAGCCTAGGCCTTGGGGACAAATTTCAATATGTCTTAATTAAGAATTCTCGGCATATTTTAGACTCTCCATAAGGTTTGATATCAATTTATTCGATCTTTAGTTGATGATTATGAGCTTTTTATTCATAGCCACAACCAAGTTTTCCAACTTTTAGTTTAGACTCTATGTCAAGATTTATGATGTCTTAACTTATGTTATTGACTAATAATGCATATATGAAAGACTTTATTGACAAATAATCAATCAACATTCACCGTTAATGCATTTGGCCGAGGCACTTTAAATGTTTTTATGGGCCGTTGAATGGATTTGTGTTTGCACTGATGTACGTGTAGTAATAATGCATCAAAGTAATAAAATTCTGGATATGTCTAGGGTCACATATTGCACAAGGTCTTCTAATTATAACTATTCATAACCAATCATTTTTCTCAAACAAAGACACAACAATAACATAAATCGATGGTTGAGGTTTGCTATGTTTAGTTGGTTTTCGAGATATAGATAAACGAAATCCCCATAACACCACTGGAATCGATGGAAATAACAGAGGAAATAGGGTCTAGGCCGCCGCTTCTGGGGTCGATTCCTCCCTTCTGGTTGGTTCCACTCTAGCTAGGTTAGGTGAGTCGCTATGTCGGCAGCGTACAGTGGTGTTATGATGATAAATATCAAAAGAAATCCTAGGGTTGTTGGAACACATTTGAAGCATTCATAACATGAATTCAAGGTATTATGATGATAAATATATGAAATGAATGCACTTTGAATAATAATTACGGGGTTTAAAATAGTTCATTCTACGTGTCATCACTTTTCTTTTTAATTTAAGTTAATTAGAGCAAATCAAACCCTTAAAATTGTATTATAAATAATCTAGACTGGCCTAGATTATGAGATCAATCTCTCTCGGCTCATGAGAGAAATCGGTTAGAGTGAATGGTTTAGGAAGATGGATCTTCAAAAATTTTATTAGATTTTACGAACTTCATTTTTGCTTAGTAGGATTGTTTGGAATAACTATGACATTTGAGTTTTTAGAAGAGATTTTCAATGAGTACTAACAATGTTGTTTCTGATGGAAATAAGTAAGGGTATAGTTGAAATTTTTTAATTTATGTCAATTCTGAACTTACACCAAACATGATTTGAAAATTTAATTCAATTATTTATAAAGAATTGAATTTGACATTTCAAACATAGGAATTCATTAAGCAATGCGTTCTACACATAATTTATTTTAAAATGAAATAAATTTCTCAATTCATTTTATACCAAACGGTATGTTGGAATATTTTTTTATAGCACTTTAAAAAAATTCAATTCGGTTTTTAAGTGACACTCTTCAATAAAAATGCATATTTCTGCCATAGTTATCTTTCAGTATGAAAAATAGTTAATTAATTGTTTAGCTATTTTATTTTATCAATTGAAAAATGATTTCATTTAGCATTAGGAGTTGTGAGACGATTCGATTAATTTTAGAATCGGATTAATAAGAGAGATACATACCCAATAATAAAGTAAAATCATTAGCATCACATAAAAATATCTTTAATCCAAGTCAATTTGGTCCATATTTTATTTTTATTTTCCACTCAATTCGATTGAGAAACTAAAAGAACTAGCTTTTAGTTGTTTTGACAATAAAACCACTCTCATGTCATACATCCATCCAGGGTTAATATTTTTCTTTCTTAAAATGAAAATTAAAAAAACCCCACTCTCTCACACATTGTGATAACTTGGAGGCAATATTAACGTTTTGCAATGACATTATCAACGTTTGTGTAGCACAGGAGACACTACTAGCCTCTTCGCTGCATTTTATCTACCATGTAAAACATCCACGATCGTCCCTGTATCATTACAGCTTCTACAACCTTATTCAGATCATTTTTGTGTGGAACTTCTGCTTTGTTGTTATTCAGAAGTATGTGCTGATACCTTATATGTACAAGACGAATTTTCTTTTTGTCTAGGAGTGTGATTAGAGTTAAGGTTGGAAAACACTGACATTGGTTTGTGTCAGCTGAGATGGAATTCTGCAATATTTTCTTTTTCTTCATTACCTCCAGCATGCTGTTTTTTCTGTTGGGCTCTTAAGATTGGCATCATATGCAGATCAGCCACTTGGTTTTGTCCCATGGTGTATGAAAATTTATAGCTGAATCTGTTGGTGTTGCCTACATTCGTATCATAAAGTATTTGATGGCTAGTTTGTTGCCGTTCCTGCCTTGCTGCTGGCAAAGGCTCCGATCACTTTGAAGCTTGCAATGCCAGAGCTGTATTGATGAAGTAGTTACTGGGTTACGAACATTAGGACTAAAGATTTCCGCTAATCTGTTCTTCAGGTGTCTCTACTTCTTCTTCTTCAACAGCCCTAACAACTCCCAGCTCGACAACCACAACTGCCCCTACACAATTGGCTCTTGTGCCCTCCAGCAGTGGGTTCGTGCAGCTTGATGGACAACCTTTCTTTACCAGATCGAAGTGGCAAACGCGTGGTCGAGACTCGAGCTAGTTTGGAAAGAGAATTAGAGTTAATTGAGCCTCATCAGCAAGAGGTATTTTCATCATTGCTAGTCACATACTGCACTATTTTCAACATTGCGAGGCAGATACATTCCATTCCGTTCGATTTTAGAACTGAAAGTTGAGCCATACTGGTACAAAGATATCAGACTGGAGGACTAAGTAATCACAATTGGCCGGTAATCTGCATTGTGGCGTTTGCCTTTGCAACAGTTTCCTTGATTTGAACTACAAGTTTCTACCAACAATGCGCCCCTTGTGCCCTTGCAACAACTACAATCAAGAGGGTGACAACAGCGAGCAGCAATGGCGACCCAATTCTCTGATCAGTGAGCAGCTGATCTGCCGAGTGTGGCGTCCCACCATCGTAGCTTCCCTTCTCCAAAGGGTGAGTCAGAACGTGCATTAGGCATTGCCATTTGTGGATGAGATCCGTAATCCTGGAAGCAATGTCCATTATCCACCTCACCAAATGCTGCGCCTCTTCCAACTCAGTTGCAGCTGCTTCCTTTTCGCAGCTTCGGAGCCTAAAGCTTTCAACTGCCATGCCACTGAATGAAATAAATTCCTCTGGCAAAAACACAGCAACAATTTTTTTCTGGGTTTTTCCTTTTGCCAAGGGTGTAACTGAATTCACTTACCTGCAGCTTCGGGGCGGTGGTCTCGCAGTCTGTGAACCATTTCGTTCTTCTTAACAGCATCCCACACAGCCTTATCGGTTGCTAGAGCGGCCACCAGTTTCTGTGACACCCAACAAAAATGGTTAAATTACAACTTGAGAAAAAAGAAAAATTTGGTTGGGTGAATCGAACCCAGAAAAGAAGAACACAAAATAAGATGATGACCTGAATGGCTGGATCGGATTGCAGCAACTGGAAAGCTTCCTCGACTCTGGTGTGTCCATTAGATGATGCCCTCTGCTGTTTCAGTTGCGACATCTGACTCATGAAACTGTTTGACAAATTGTAGCGCGTTCTTGAGATTTTGAATCGCAAATAAGAGAGAGTAGGAAGATGTATCTACATCAATGGGAACATCTGGCTTAGCTTGATTTTACTTACCCCTGAAGGGAGGCTATGGCGGATTCAACTTCTATCTGGGAAGGAACAGGTCCCAAGACAGCATCCATCGAAGGCCCAGAAGCAGGGGAGTTGTGGTCAGCTGATGGGTTGGGAAAGTCAACTCTCGAAGTGCTTCCTTGAACCAGAGGGAGGTTAGTGCTATGGCGAGGGTGACGATCCATGGCTCTTCTTCTTCTTCCACGAGGTTTCTGACTTTCTGCTGCCTCACTCTCTCCGAGCTTCTTCAATCAAATCCAGTGGAGTTCAGTAGCGCTGCAGTTAACCATTTAGAAATGGGTAAAGTTACCATTAGCCAACCAGAATATAAACAGAAAGGGAATATGGACTATAGGTCGGGTTACCCAGAAGTTTGAAAACTTAGGGAAGAAGTAGAGAGAAAAGAGATGAAGGAATCGTGGGAAACTTGCTCATATTATATTACTAGCTTATTACCCGGCCCGTTGGCCGGATTACTGTATGTTACCCACTTGTGGAATGGGAGAGAAAGCAAGTGAGAGTGAAGGGATTGAGATTCCACTTGATTAGGACCGACCCACTAATCCAATTCTTCCCGACCCGCCCCAACCTACAGGGTTAGAAAGAGTCAATAAGAAAATACGAACGGGGAGGATTAGTCATATATCTTGATTCTTCAGAAGTGGGTCAAACAGGATCAAGGTTGGGTGAGGGCAATTTTTAGCACTAAGCAGAATTCTGGGTTGAATACCTTTACTTAGGCCTAGAAATTGGTGCTGATGCAGACTGCAGTTTTTATTATACCATCATCAATCATCATTGAATTAGTCCTGGGCATCCCTCCCCGTTGTCGGTCTGAATTCTAATGATGGCTTCATTCCTTGCACCAGCCATATCGGCGAGTTGCCATCTCGAGCATGATTTGCCTATGTACAAATAATACAATTAGAGTATGAAAATGAATTCAATGAAAAGGAAAAGAGAATTCTATCACATGCCAATAAATACACACATAATAGTTGAAGCTAAGTGAAAGTCATTACTCGCACATCAATTCTCAAAAATTACAGACTAAACATTGGCTAGAATGGCACTGAAACTACCAAGAATCATGGACGAAACAACTTGTCAAATTAAATAATCCTTATACTGAAACTACCTTTTAACTTGAAATAAGACATGATCACAGTTCATAGCTCTCTTCTCACTATGAATTGGTTGCAGCTCATCCTTATCACTGCCTCTCAAGCTCAATTCAAACAGAATAGAGACCGTTATGTAAGATAATCATATTCTTACTGATCATAATTCCTTTCTTCACTCCATTTTTGTCGGAGAAAAGAGTTATCCCCCTCTCCTGCATTTCCCTTTCCCCCTCTCTTCTCCCTCTTCTTCACAAACCGATCCCTAAACCAGTAACAACAACACAAAAATAGTCTTCGTCTCTCCCGTCTCCATCTATTGAACGCGTTGGTGGCAAGACAGGACTGCAGAAGCAAAATTTTCTAAAATCAAACTAAATTTTTTGAAGCAGACTCAACCACGAAAAAAGAGTAAAGCAACAATGTAGTAGAACCCTAAATTTAACTACAATCAAGCACATATCAGCAAGATTTTCGATTTGTCTGAGAGTTAACTACACGGAGAGAACAATTGATGCATAATTGAAATGCTCCAAGCAAGTTGAAGGCAAACCATAACTTTAGAATTTGTTCATTATAATAACCTTCAAGTATTGATGCTTCTAAGAACTATCATGTCCAACCCCCACTTATACAACTACGTAGCCATAGTAATTAGTTGTATAATGAGAAATATTACAAAGAAAACTACATAAACAACCAATATAAGTAAATATTAAAACTAACAACTGATAAAACTTAAAATCTCTCTATTGGTATAAATGTATCTATTAGTAACTACTATGCAATCGAGTATATATGATTTTTAGGCACTGAATAAGAAAAGTATAGATGCCTCACAAATGAAGACGTAGCAACTGAAGGTAGCACACAAAAACCAAAAATAGAAAAAGAGATAAGAAAAAAGGCGAGAAAAAGTCAAACAAAGAAAAAGCCCACATAGGAATACCTCGCTAGCTTTAGGGACTCTCTGCCACAACAAACAACCTTCTTAAAAATCTAACACCCTGAGACATCAAACAAACCTCCCACGACACTAATGTATGGCATTCCTATTGTCCAATAGGTTTGCCCAATTTAGACTTCTAAATAAATGGACTTTTCACCATTAAACCAAAACTCACAATCATTAACAGTTAATGCAAAGACATACATTTCTGAGGCCAATCACAACATTTAAGCATAATTTTTAGTTGAAAAGAACAACTAAGTATTTAGCTAAATGATATAGTAGAATGGACACAATCTGCTACCTACTAATGATATAAACGTGTACCGGTACCATCGTTGTATCCTGACTTGCCATTTGCAACGGGCACTTTGAAAGACAGCTGCATTTTAGAGAATAAACACCCATAAGGGCGTTACGAAACCAAGCTTAATCCAAAATCTTCATATTTCACTTCGAAGACTCCATTTTCAAAAATAAGAGAGTTTAACATGTCAAATCACTCATTTGAAAAATCTCAAACAACTATTAATCAAGGCAATATAAAGGCACGTTCCAAATTATGTACTTGTAGGAATAATCCCAAATAATTATCAATTAATGCCCCAACTACCTAATGTGCAGAATAGCCCTGGAGCTGTGCTGTTGTTTGCGTTGGTCTACCTTCAAACATAACATAGTTGCATCACGAACCAAAGCAATTAAGCAAAAATCTTCATATTCCAAGTAGAATGACTCAATTCAATTTGGCCAACGCTTTATACATATTGTTTACCCCTAGACCTGTTCACTTGCGCCTTCAGATCTTCGTGAACACAATACAATTGCGGAGAGGAGGCTGTCAACGGAATAAAAAATTTTAATTAAGTGAATCACCATACAACTAAACAAACGCGCTCTTCTTGATTAGCTATCAAAATCGTGGGGGTCGCTACAATCCATCGGTTGCTCCCTCTGCGCCTAAGTTGTAGATATTAGGTTTCAGTGAGAACTTTTAGTACATGAGGAGATATTTTGTAGTGGAGGAGATGACCCGGCGAGTAGAATAGGAAGATTTGGAGAGGCTGCGATGGGCAAAGCAGTTAAAATCGAGATTTTACTTAAAATCGAAAACTGGGGTAAAATCAAAATCGTATAATCGAATCGTAAAATGGTATGATTTTAAGTACCATATAGAACATAGCATTTAAGAATATTAATAAGGTAAATTATTAATATCACAAAGACATATAGCATTTAAAATGATAATTCAGAAGATTTTTTTTCCATAAGATAATTCTCAAGATTAATGTTCCAAAATTACTATTTTAATTGTTATTTAATGTGTAACTCAAAATAATTCATGATGAAGGGATATAGTTCATGGGTTTGGCTCTTATTTTCATGTTATGTCTAGGTTGTTTAACTCAAAGTAATATTTCGACATTGTCTACTAAGTATGATTTAAAACTAAAAATAATTGAACTCCAATAAAATAAGTAATGTTAGTGGCTTGGTACAAATATATTCATTAATAAATTAATTAGTTAATAATGATGTTAGTTCTTACATACTTCCAATATTAGGACAGGTGTTTTACCAATAAGTTAAATGGGGTGAAGGGAAAGAGATTAACCGAACCCTAATTTGGTTATTTTTATTATTTTTGAATATTTTTCTAATAGAAAAATATCTGAGAAGATTCCATTGCCCTTTCCGCTGAAACAGTTATACTTATTTTAAATTGGCTCAAACCACCTATTTTGTTATCTTACGATCAAAATCCCGATTTCGGTACTATTTTACGATTTTAACGATTTTAGTCCCGATTTTAAACGATTTTAAGGTCCACCGATTTTATAGTAAAATCAAGATCGGAATCCCTAAGTAAAATCCTAAAATCCTACGATTTTACGATCAAAATCCCGAATTTGACTGCATTGGCGATGGGTGCACGATTAGTGGGCCAAATAACAGTTTAGGCCCGTTTAAATGAAAACATATTTTTACTTTCGTGCTCAACAGACCGACCGCACTGGCATCTTCTAAATTTACCCCTAAAAAATTGCTCTGTACGCATCAAATTTGAAATGGAATCCCTCATTTCTCATTTCACATTTCACATTTATATGATGTGTAGATTGTGATGAGTGTAGATGTAGACCTGTCATTGTCCTACAAATTCATTAACACGCCAAAAAGTGGTGAAATGAGCCACCCTATTAAACACAATCTTGTATAATGATCATTGGATCCAATCATGCCAGATTATGAAGAAGTTTAAAATGTAGCGGTTATCCCGACTAAAACATTAAAATAACCAGTCTCATATAGTTTGCACAAAGATATAATTTCTCCATAGTAATTCTGAAAAATAATATTAATTTGAGAAGTCGATATTGCTTCTACATGTTTAATATTGCAATTCGATATGCAATATTCGAACCAGTGATATTTGGGCTGCAATTTTAGGGTTATTGTATATTTATAAAATAGATAAAAATTTAAATTAAGTATTAAACTACAACTAAAATAATCAAAGTATTAAAACACCAAATAAGTACTTACGGGAGATTCAGTGGCCAACTAATCGTTAAAAAAGTCATATGATTTTCATAATTTAGGTTCGTGTATGTTTGAATTTAAATAGATACAATAAATATACTTAGTGTGACTGGTTATGATCCTTGCTTGCTTTTAAAGAGACCAAGGTTCAAATCCCAGTGCATGCCTTTTTTATGAATAAATAAATAAGAAAATAAGCAATTGTGAAGACCAAAATGTCCTTCCTATAATCACTCACGTTGCAGGAAATTTGAAATGGAGCAACAGTTTTCATCATTCGGCTTTTATTTATTATCTAGACTAGCGTGGTGCCCGGCCATTTGGCTGGAGGAAGGTGAGGTATGAAATTTGATAATGTAATGGGGTGTATAGCTTATTGTTGTATAGTTTTTTTTTTTGGAAAATACGTGATAAAAATAGTGAATTTTAGTAGGAAAGATACATGAATGATGTAACGAATATAAAATGAGCCTTATGAACCAAAATCAAGTACCTGTTACCTTGTGAAACAATATTGTTTCTGGTGATGAGGTGGAGTAAGTTTTATAGAAACCGAATCCCAGAAAATCGAATAAAAAATCACCTATCCCGTCGGTTTTCGGGAAATGAGCATCTCACAATCGTTGTTAGCTTTTACTCGGCCCGTTGGCCGATTAATTTGTTTTATAAAACTTTCATCTTGTCATCATTGTGCTTTCTAGTTTTTTGCCAAGTCATGATAAAATCTAAAGAAATCAAGAATGAACAACACGATTTGGGATAAGAACCACCGTTCCTGTATCCCTAGAAAACGATGGTAAACATGGACTCACCTGCCAAACTGGTTTGGATTGAGATTTTTATCGGGTATCAGGGAACCATGTGATTATAAATTAGACTTGATCAAAACGGGCCAAAACTTGAAATTTAGCCTGTTTGACCGACCCATGCCAAACTCTAATTATTCTTTACTTTTAAAC